AGAGATTCTCATATTTGTTTCTATCGCCTGGTAATATCATAATTTGTAGTCACTTTTTGTAAGTGAACTCTTAAAAAAATGGGTTTATCTATTTGGTCTGCTTAGGTGAATAAGTAGTAAACTTTGATGACCAAAATATAGAGAATTATGCATAGTTTAGCGATCAATAGTGTCATTTGCTTTTTATAATAAAGCAGAAGTAAGAGTTTGGCTGGGTGTAAACTTTTGCTATCATTTTTTGTTTGAGTAAATCTTATATATATTTACAGTGTATACACTATCACCATTAGATTAATAACATGGTGCAAAAGTTCAATTTTGAAATTTAGATTTTGTATAGTTATCATTTATACAGCGCTGTTAGAGTAGGAAAGATTAATCTTTTTTGTTTTACCAAAGTTTCCCCTTTATGATAGGATCAAACAATTTTACAACTTCCACAACCATCATTAAGATGACAACTATGGCTATATCTTTTGTAAACCCACAATTAATTTGGACGACAACTGCTAACAATTTGTGAAACAATTTTCTACTCATAATAACACCGAGTTTATTATCAAAATAATTCTCCTTCTAAAACATATACCCAAAGTAACCTAATTTTAAAATTTATTACCTTTATAATTTTTTTTTGCCACATAGGTTGCACATGTGTTAGGATAGAGATAAAGGCACACTCTATTTCTTTTTTCCATCTAATATTTTTCCTAATTCTCTCTCTCCTGTGTTTTTTCCTTTCATTGCCTTTTCCTTGTCAAACGTAATTTTGAGAAGTTAATATTTATATTAACAGTATATAAAAATTCATTATCATCCTTGATAATATCAAAGTAAACAAAGATTATTCTCTTATCTTTTCTATTGTGCAATTTTTGGAACATTGCTATGGCGTTCAAAAAATTTTTGAATATTAATTGTCTAACAAATGATTTCTCACACCGTGTGTTTGATAAAAAGTTTAGGAGAAAATAATCTAGCAGTTTTTAGTTTGCAATTGAAAACTTTAAAATTTCAGTTTTATTGCATCTTGTAAAAGTTTTTTTTCAAAGAGTAAGAAGGATAATATAAACAAATATGATAACCTTGAAGTTTTTGTAACTTTGTCTTGTTATTACTTATAATTTTTGTTGCAATTTTTGAATTTTTCAAATTTAATTTTTGAAAAAAAAATATATGCAATAGGTTTGATTCATTTCAAGAAAAATGTAGAGACCAATCATAGTCAGGTCAATAATGGTAGAATTTGTTTTAAATAATTATAAGAAAATTATCAAAGTTATGCAATCTTATTGTGTCTCTATGATTAAAAAAAATTAAAAATTTTAACTCATGTTGGAAACTATAAACTAGATCAAAACTTTCCTTTCTTGTTATCCTATGTGGCAATCAGGATAATAAGATGGTAATAATAACATCATTATGGGAATAAAATTTGAAAGTGAATCATATTGAGAATATTTTTTAGAAAGAGTGTTATTTTAGCAAAAAACTCTAATAACACCCATAATAAACTACTCATCAAAGCTACCCACTAATGAACTCAAAATGATTTCAATAAATATAATAAAAAAATTTTACAATTTTTTTATTAATCTGTGCCTTGGACACTAATCTATACTATATATAAAGCTTGAGAAAGGGGTTTGGGGTTAACATTAGGATTAACATTTATTGGCACTTATAAGCTTTTTTTTCCCTTATAAAACAACTTTTACTTTAACTACCTATAACTACCTATGACTATTTTTGCTTTTAACTATTTATGTATATGTTTTCAACATAACTACCCCTAAACATTATAACTACCAATGTAAAATTATTCTGTGAAAAATATTTAAAAGATTAAAGTTTGCTTCAATAATAAAAATTTTATTTAAAATATATGACCATAAATATTATGTATTTTTGATTGCACACATTTTGGGTGTGCATGAAGCACTAGTAGATATAATGCTTGAGCAATGATAGTTAGTGTAAACACTTTTTGTCATCTTTTGAACTTTCAATTTTATTCTTTTAAAAATTCAATTTTTACCATAATCACCTAGTGCCTGTTTGATAACATAAAAAAGTGTTGAAACTGAATTCATTCAGACATTAAGAGGTTTTGGGTGTTTGATAAATAAAAATTCACCCGCTGAATTTGTATGTATTTTTTTCAGCACAAGAATCGTAACTGAATGCTTAATTTGATAAGAATCAAGAGATTTACTTCAACTACTTTATCTTATCTACTAAATCTATCCCTGTTTGTTAATTACATTCAAAATCCTTATCTAATTAAACAACCTAATATTCTCTATTCAAAATCCTTATCTAATTAAACAAAACAATCTGATATTCTCTATTCAAACAATCATTTCTAAATTTTTTAGGTCGAATTTATATGTTATATGAATTATTGGATTGTAATGTTTTGCATAATATATTTCTTCTTTTATATTAATTTGATTTAAAAATAAATATTGTCTTTTTCATACCTAACAATTTTAAGCTAATTAAATCATAGGTTCTATTTCCTTTTTGGATTAAAAGATAGAAGGGCAAAATTGTACAATTTAGCTTATTAAGCATTAAGTTATGAATATTTATCAAACAGTATAAATAGATTCAGCATTAAGATTCAGACATTCATATATCTCTTTTCAGTGCTTAAAATTCAGCAAATTAATTATTTCAGTATTCAGAATTCAGAATTCAGAATTCAGGATATCGATTCAGTGTTATCAAACGGAGCCCTAGTCACATTTTGCCAATGTAACTACTCATAACCACCCAAGTATTGTAACTACCATATTACTATAATCATGTAAAGCAAACTTCTTTCATGAAAATTTTAGATGAATTTTTTGTATGTAACAAACAAAATTTATACAAAATTGATTTATTTTAATTATTCCCTAATTGCACATATATTAGGTGTGCCATTAACACTAGTATATATAACTTTTACACGAACTATGTAGTCATTGGTGGAACTACATATTTCACAAAGTCAAACTTATGCGTTGGGTTGAATATTTTTGGTTGAATCCAAATGACCCAAAACTTCCCCTTCAAATTTTTGGTTTTTTGTAAGAAAGGTTAAATATTTGTACTAACTAAATAATGCTATGTACTTCACACTGTTGTTTTTTGTTTGCACTGACTTGTATGCATTGATTTACAAAACTTGTAAAATGTATTTTTTTTTTATTTTTCCATAATATTCCACCCAGAAAATGTTGTACATTAACTTTTTTTTGGGGGGGGGGGTGGTCAAAAATTTGTTCTGAAATTGAAGTTTCCCCAGTCTTTAATGCCATACACTAATTTGTTAGGCAGCACTTTTTCAAAAGCACGTAAAAATCCAGATGTTCTCATTATTTGAAGGTTAAACTGCAAAAGCACCCCTCTGAACTTTTCTCAAAGTCGAAGTGCCACAAACAATTAATTTCAGCACTATATACCCTCCAAACTATGAAACTTCTTTAGAGATGACAATTGGGACAAGTGCCCGTGGAATGAGAGTTGGTGGGGTTAGCTGGGGGCATTTTTCCCCCATTTAAAAATGAGGTCCCCCGCCCCATTCCCCGCCCTACCACTGATTAAAAAAATTATATATGTATATATAAATAGTTATAAACTTATAATAATGATATTATTAGTTATAAGTATTATATAATGTATATTAGTATATATAATATAATTAATATTATTAATTATACTAATAATTATACATGTATACTAATAGAAATTATTAATTAGTTATGCTAAATTTACTAATATATTTATACTAAATTCCTAATTACAATTAACACAATAATACTTTTTCTAAAAAAACACAATAACAGTGGGTGGTGGGATGGGTGCTCCCATAGGGATAGCAGGGTGGGGTGGGGGCAGGAGGGGACAAGTGTCCCTCGCCCCGTTGCCATTCCTAAATTTTTTTTATCTCCTCCAATCAATTCATTGGTTGCAGATTTTAATGAGTAGAAAGTTATTAATGTTCCTAAATTTTGTTATGTAGCCAAATTACCCTTTTCCCTCTAAACCTAACCGATAATTTAGGTATATCAAGAATTTATTTATTTTCTCTCACCCGAATCCTCTCTCTCCATACAAATTACAAATAGACCTCAATATGCGTATATACAATAAGTTGCAGAGTAAGAAGGGTACTTTGGTTACTTAACTATATCCAAGGATATTAATGACGTTTTACCAATTAAATTCCCCTATCAGCCAACAGATTGCTAAGCATATAGGTCTGCACAATAAATTTCTAAGAAAAATTCTAAATAAGAATTTTTGACCGAGAGTACTTGTACCAAGAGTCTTATGTTCTAGGAGGAATGTCCCAAACTCCTAACAAGAATGTTTTCTACTTTCACTTACTGCTTGGTCCTTGTTTGTTGCTTCCGTTTTGATCATTTTTGTTATGCTTTCCACGGGAGATGATTCATATGTTTAACTGTTTTATGCAGATGGAGAGAAATATGGAAAAAGAAGGTGTGAAATTGTCTGGGCTCAATGTTGGACTTTGGGTATCTCCTAAATTGGAAAATCCATCTATTGATGAAGAGGAATCTGGTCAGGACTCAAGAATCATCGGATGACTGCAATAAAGACCTCAAGAGTATCCAAACAAAAAAAAAACAAAAAAAATTTCATACTTGGAACTATGAATTATGCTATTAAAGGTGATATTAATTGACTGTCTTCTATGTTGGTACTCTCTAATTTGTGCAGCTAGGAAATTTCGACCTCTTTGGAGCATAACAACATAAATCAAGGGGTTGATGACACTTGCCTTCCAAAGTGGCAAGAAATGTCTATTTTGGATAATCTCAATCTGTTCTTTAATTGGAATTTTTTGGGGGGGGGGGGGGGGGGTGGTTACTGGGGCAAACCAGTGGGCAGGGGAAAATGGTGGGAGAGGCACTCTTGCTACTTGCAAACCCCAGCAGCTGAAGCTTATTCTCAAGTTCACCTATAAGTATTTTATCAGACAAATATACAAGTTAAAAAAATTGGCACTTAAAAATAATCCAATGTGAGTATACAATGCAGGTACAAAAGGCTTGTACAATTGTATGTGAGAGTTGTTTCTATTCTCCAGACAGCAGCAAACGAGCCAAAGTCTAGGAGACCTGAAAATAAATTCTTGCATTGTTTGTGGATACAAGGCTATGTCCTATAAGTTACTCTACAGATTCTTTGTCTACAAATATACTAAAATATGGTTCATTTCCAAATTGATGCATCTTCAACTAAATCTCAGTGCTGTCTCTCTCTCAGTTCTCGTCTCAAAAACTATCTCCACCATCTTCAAATGTGGAGAGAGAAAAGGGTGCAATAGCCACATTAAATGTCCTCGAGCCTACTTTATCGACATGCTTCATCTCGAAGTCCCCCTCCTATTCAAGTAACAAACCAGCAGAAACATAAATATACCACTAATTTTAAACAGGAAATTGAAATGAACATGCATTGAAAAATAATATTAGTTTGTCACCAAAAGATTGGCAAACTGCAAAATAGACACCTTTAGCCCTAAAATTTATTGCACTCACAATATTATGCAGAACAGCAGATGACAGCACTATAAGTTGGCATCAATATGTACTTGTCAAACTACCTTTTGTCCTCAGAGGGGGTGGAGAAGGGAAAAAAGTTTAACGCATAGAACACTAATCATCTCTATTATCAAAAAGATGATTTCAACAGTGAACAATAGTTTAGACCTTTCCATCCTCTCCCAGGGGCTGTATTAAGATAAACACCCATGTGTTTTCTTAATGTATTCCAGAATGGTTAAGTATCTCATTCCTTAAAATGGAATTACTGGATATAAAAACTAGTTCTTACCACCTAATAATCTACTTCATAACGTCATTTCAAGATTTAATGAAGCTTCAAATGGTCCAAACATTCGTTTTTCTCTTAAACTTCCATAGTAATTTGGTTTGTGGAGAAGATATATTTGTTTTCCTCTTTTGTTAGCATTAATACTGTTGAGGAGCTGCCATCAACTTCGTTTCTAAAAAAAATTTTCCCACAACTTCTACTGATTTACTTTGTCAAGAAAATAATTAGGCTTTTATGGCATGTATAATATTAATAAGTAACAGATAACAGATCATCTTGCCATCCTACCACTTAAAATGCTTTAGGCTTTTTTACGTCATGTATAACTTTAAAGAATAAAATATCATCTTACATTTTACAACTTGAAGGACTATAGGCACTTTACATCAGGTATAGCCATTAAAGAATATCAGACTATCTTACCATCCTCCCACTCGACGTGCCCAATGGGCATGCAGATGAATACTCAAAACCAGTATTAGGTAATATAACTGGTTGTTCACCAATAACTCCAATTCCCCTGTCGGAAGAAGACAAATGACAGCCAGAAATTTAGATTGGTCAGCAGCCTTTTAGGGTTATTAAGATGATGATATCAAATCCAATTTTGATAACTTCAGTCTGTATATGACATATGAGACTGCAAATCTAACTTACCAGACATGTTCAGTTCTCCCATTGGCATCAGTGATGATCCAGTGCCTTCTAAGAAGTTGAACAGGGCGGTCTGAATTATTGGTGATTCTTATTCTATATGCAAAGAAATACAGGCCTTTTGAAGGCTGACTTCGGCCTTCTATGTAGACACTCCTAACTTGGACCCTTATGCCCTGAAAACAGTACTACATCCTTAGAAAATGCAACGGCACAAGGTCTCAACCATCCCAAACTCAAAAGCAGTAATAAGTCACTGAGTGATGAAGCAAAGTTCCTAATGTGCATGGATAAGGTGTGCAAAGCACTAGTACTGATGCATGACAAAAAAAAGGACATGAACATAGGTATTTAAATTATCCTTCCTATATTGTATATGTACATTATACATGCAGATACATGTACAATGAAAAAGAAGTCCAATATCCATCATGTAAGAGATGAAAAACTCATAAATAGATAGCATCAGAAGTCAAATGAAATTAAAAAATGTTCAGATATCACTTCCTGCATAGGAAATAAATCTGGTAGTTTTAGAAAGTATAAGAAATCTTTCAAGTGGTAGGTCTAAACAAAATAGACCTCAAATGTAGATAACTTGAACTTCAAATAGTAGTACTATGACTTTTAGTAAGTAACAAATACGGACACCAAGAACAGCAGTTTGAATAGGGTACAAACTACACAAACTGAAAAAAGTACACTAACCAGGGAACGAGCTCATCTTCAAGAAAAGAGGTAAGATCCCACTATTTCTCTTGTTCATTTGTTTTTATAATAGTGAAAACTTTCTATATAGGCAACCAAACAAAGCCTAGGAACAAGAATATGACAACTTCCTTAATACAACTTTACAGTGGCCAAACTTTTTAAGCTGTGAAGAAAGCTTAAAAACTGGATGTTTTTGTAGAGAAAACTCTAGAATGGACTATTCTGTACATACACAGGGGGAGAGAGAGAGAGAGAGAGAGAGAGAGAGAGATGGCGCACTCTTCACACAATACACCACTAGAAGTTAAAATATTACTACCTGCATAATACTTCTCTATATGCATAAATGTCGCCCAATTTTCAGAAATCTTGCCACACAACTGATTTGTGAAGAAAGAATTAATTCCCACATACCAAATGGGCATGGTAGCCACACAAAAATCAATTTGAATTTGTATATTTGAGTTGAGAAGCACTGTAATGCTTCAAAACTTGTTTCTAAAAATGCATCACATGTCCATAGCACCTATCAATATCTATCATGGCTTTTTACTATACCTCAAGAGACGGTAGATGATTTAGGTCATTTCAGTGGGAAAAATGAGAAATCCCAAAGTGACTAGTATTCAGGACTGTCATATGGCAAACATTCGCTTACTTGTGATGCCATTTCTGAAACTGGAACAAGCAATGAAGTTATGTTGCCTTTTGAGTGTCCTATGTTAAGCTCCATTACATTTTTCAAGTTCAAGAACTATCATTTAACATAGACAGGTGCAGAAGTTACACTTATTGAGAACAAAATTTTCTACATAAGATAAATTTAGAGCAAAAAATCTAACTACAACTTAATAGGAAAAATTTTTACCTTCCAAAGGAATTAATTCTACTTTTTTAACTTTTTAAGAGGCAAAAGAAACAGGAGTTTTGAAGATGATACTGGTCATTTCTCAAAGAAGAAAAAACCATTTCAAAGAAGCAACCTGCATGGTCATTTGCTAGATCTTGGGGTTGGTGACCTACTCCTCTTCTAGGTCTGTCTATGGAAATAACTTGCATCTCATACTTAGAAACCTAACAGATTTCACCAGTATAGACCAGTTCACTTATTCCCACCAACAGAAAAATTCCTGCATCCTTCTTTGCCAGAAACGGATCCCAAAGAGATTACTTCTGTAGCTAAAGTAGACATGTCCTAAAGGACAAAGTCCCAAATGGGTAAGGGATCCTAAACAAGTTAATATAGATGCCATGCCAGGCCCGAACTAGCTAGGACTCATTTTGAGTTAGATGCATGGATTCTTTCATATCAAAGCTAGCCCTTGGCTTTTAAACCAGCCTAAGAGGGCTAAATTCGCCTGTGCATCAAGCCAATTCCTCTTGAGGACTCTATGGGATCTTCATCCATAACTAGACCCAGGCTTTACGTGCCCATTTCAGTTTCAAGGATTCTCTGGAGTGTTAAAGGACAACATCCCATAAGGGGATCTTGCGCCTTTGCCCTCATTGTCCCAAATAATTTTACATTTGGTGCACATGTTAACACATGCTCCAAAGACATTTTTTCTTTCTTTACTGTATGCAACATCTATAAGAAGGACGTTGGTTTTTGTTTACCACTATCCCTAAACAACTACTCCTTTTGTGATGATCTTCTAGTCATCCAAATAGTTTGCAACATATACCTGAATTTGGATGAATTTTCTAGTAAACTCAAATTGAAGTTTCATGAATAAAACAATGTCCGTTTTCTTGATTTCCTTTACCTCATTCTGTCCATGTAATGCCTTCTTTTACTAAGTTATACCACACCTCCAGATTTGACTTGCTTGGAAGAATGCTAATTCCTTGCGAATGCTATAGCTATTTAATTATCAGACCAAAAGTGAGCTACAGGTTATATCTGGTATAAGTGTTATTTAAGCTCCTTTAGCCATGGGACTATATGGGCCATATTGTTATCAATTCTTCTGCTTGGTACTTTTCTTCCACAAGGATAGCAAATTTGTGTAATATCCCTAAACACACTCCTTGGAAGTACCACAATTCACAACATGACAAGCATCGCATAATCTCCTATATCATTTCTCACATAGATCTTCCCTAGTTGACTGTAACTGTAGCATACTTTAGCCTCCTAGACAAAGACAAGTTGCAGAGTTATTAACAAAAGCACTTGCCTGTATCTCTTGTCCTATAAACTATAGGCCAAAATCCTAGAAGGACCACTAGCAACAGTAGTTGCAAAGTTTGGGTTCTGCTAATGAGCAATGAAAAGAGTAGTTGCTGAGTGGTAAACTTTAAACAACTTTCTCCTTCTCCATAACTTTACTGAGCAATCTCTAATGAATATCTTTGGAAGAATTTGAAGATTAATAACTTTTAGCACATGTGGCTTCAGTAACTATATAACTTTCATCAGTATATATAACATCTATAATCTGATGTACAGGACAATTGTTGTCGAGTGCAAGTAAGCAGCATGAAAAGTGCACTAACAGATCAGGCACTTCACGCCCCTAGCTATACATAACTAAGTGCCTATGGACAGGTTTTTGACAAGTAGTGTAGCTGTATAAGTCTGCAGGAAGCCCAAGCTTTCTTAAACTGTCGGATTAAAACATCCTGTTAAATTCAGCAACTTATTTCATATGAAACTTTAGTCTGCAACATTTTGTGCTATGATTAAAGAATCCAGATATATGCAAGGAAAGTTCAACTGCATGCTAATTACAAACATTTCAGAGTTTGCATTAGAAAAGGAAAATTTTACATCTAAGCTGCCAACGCCCGATACAATATGATAACCTCAAAACAGTGAACATGCTTCCACCATTAAAAACTGAAAATAAAAAAGCGTGAGTTTAAGAAAGACACTTATGACAAGCTACTCCAAGTGACAGGATGAAATATCAGAAATGAGGCATTAGGTTCAAATAGCGCTATCGTACCGAGGTTGTAGCATCGCTTGAACAATTCAAGAGAGAATGTGGGGCAATTTCCTTCAGCTCATCATGATACCGAGCTGCATCCTGGATGTGCAGTTGCATACATATGCATGTGACCAAGAGCAGCAGGCCACAGAAAGAAAGATTATCAAAGAGTATCAAAAACAACTAGTTCAAGAGATTAGCAAAGAATACATCTTAGCCAAGTGCTTTTGCTCACTTTAGTGGAATGATGTACCGAAGGCTGAGGTAAGCAAATTTATTACCCAACAAGCAAATATTCAAAAAGGACAGAATGTCACAGTCAGCATGATACATTACACTTGCCAATTGTTTAGTTTATACAGCAAATAAAAAGTATATTCTACTACATTTAGTCAATAGTCCGTGATTCTCATGTTAATAACCTTGTGGTGATATTATGCACAACACCATAAAAGAAATGCAAAACCAGCATTATAGTCCACTTTAAATCATAAATGCTTCAACAATATATAAAAGGCTAAATAAGCATAATTCACTTCAAATCCAATTTATTGAACATTGCCTCAACATTCCGCATTCCCTTACGTTTCAATTGCTTAAACCTTGTTTCCACTCTTAATATGATATCCCTTGATACAGAAAGAGTTTAGGCAAAGAGGAAATACATACCTCAAACCGCTCATTGTCAATGGCTTCTTTCAATAATCTTTTAAGCCGCAAAACTGGCTCCTGATCCTCAAAAGTCTTCAATGAGTCCCGCAGCCTTGCTGCTTCCTCGTAATCCTATAATCAAACAACTCTACCATTATACAACAACCCTTTCTCCCAACTTAACCTCTTCCAGCATAAACATCAACCCAAAAAATAATAATAACAACACAAACAAACACACACACACACACACACACACACAGAGTTTCAAATCACAGCAAAATTGACAAACTAGAATTCTCTCTAAATATTCCAACATTGTCAAGGTAAGTCAGAATCAATATCTATTCAATATTAATATTGGCAAGCCCTGTATTTTGTCATTGACACTCACATTGACTTGTGTGATATGCATGGAAAGACAAAATTACCCATATTACTGTTGAATTTACAACCACTCTAAAATGTAATCAAAGGCAAATATAGAGGTATAATTGTGTTTTCACATCATTAAAAAAAAGTCACAGAAGTGGCATTAACAATTTCAGGAATGCCAAATTAAAATCAGCAAATTCAAACTAAAGATGCTTAGCTAATAAATCGTTGAGTAAACATTAACAAACTCAACTTATGATACTAATTAACTGTTAATTAAACACTAATTTAACTAACCTCAGATTTTGCGGCGACTTCCATTTGTTGCTTCAACAGTGCATAAGTTTGGCCCGGGGAAAGAAACGAACTCTGGCTTGACCCAGGTCCAGGACCCGACCCACGAACCGAACCCGGATTAGAACCACCCGGACTTTGGCTCTCCGAAGCACAAGCTACAATCCTACAAGACCGCGAAGAATAATCGTTATCATGTCTGCAATTCAACCTTTGCTTTCTCTGGAAATCGCCATGGCCGTAGCCGAGTCCATTGCTGAGCCGGCTGGGCCTCGGCCACGTCGATTTCCTGACCGCGTTGAAATCGGTTGTGATATTGAAATTTATTGATTGCATTTTTTTTTTTAAGAATTTTTTTTTCTTTTTAACGTTTTTCCTGAAGGAATTTTTGGGATATGAAGATTGAATCTCTCTTTCGGAAATGGGGTGCATTTCTTTAGTGGTACTTTACACTGTGTGAAATTACAGTTTTGGGGGCAAGAGTCGAGTCGAGTCGAATCAAATTGAATGGATTACTAGCTCGACTCTAAGTTAAAAAAACTTGAAGTCAAACTCGGGCACAAATTCATCAAATTCTTGAAGGTGAAACCAGATTTTGAATTCGATTTAATTTTACATTACTCAAACTCAAGGTTGATTTCATACTCATCAAACCCAATTGAGCTTGTTTCGAGTGTAATTGAGAGTTTAAAAAATATAAATTTATATTTACATCCTATTTATCCCATTAAAAATGTTATACTTTTTTTTAGCGGTTACAAAATATTTGTCATATTTGACATTTCGAACTACTTTATATTGTAAAATTTTCCTTGTACCCTTCGTTAATGATGTATAAAGACAAATATGATGTGATTACTTTTTACTTTTTATTTTGACCAGCCATGATTAAAGGTAAAAGTGAAATAAAAGAAAAATTTTTCTAGTGGAGCGTGCTATACATAAAAAGCACATATCTCTAAATGTGATTAAATATATGAGATGGAGAAAATATATAAATTTGTACGAGAGATAAAATAGATATTTCATACTAATAAATAGAAAAAATATATATTTATATATGTATATGTGTGAAGTTTGATTAAACTGATTGAGTTTTTGAGTTTCACATATGAAACTTGAACTTAACTGTCAAGTAGTTTAATTTGTTTGAATTTGATTTCGAACTTATTCAATGTAAGTTCAAGTTTGAAGTTTAACAACAAGCTTGCAAGGTTGTTGATTATGCTCGACTCATTTGCACTCTGCGGTATGGTAACCAACTTGTTTGAAACTACAAGGGCAATTTGGGGAATAAAAGGATGTTAAGTCAGATATTTGTAGATTCTGATGGAGGAAGTTACACGTGTATATTTTATGTTTTGTGATCGAAGGACAACTGGGCGAGTTCCTGGCTTTTCTTCTTTTGCATTTTCCAACTTTTGCTTTTAAAATGATTTTTGTTCAACAAATTGATTTTTCATTAACTTAAAAATATTTTCCTATGTACCCAAAAAAATATTTTGTTAGTAGATTCATTAGTCAATTAATGATTGTTAGTAAAAATTAGGGATCAAAAACATATTTCTCTCTCATACCTAAATGCAAGTTCCTATGCAAGATGGCTTACAATAGATATAAGAATTCAAATGCATGATTATGATTTATGATGAATTTTAAGGAATCATTGACGCATTAAACTTTTTTGGTAAATCACATTCTTTCGTTTATTCCTTCACATTTTTTTAGTCCTTGATAGTTTTCTGTAGTTGCTAGCGAAGATGTTTTGTAATGTGCGTAAACATGGGTAAAGTTTAGAAGGATCATTTTCAAAATTTTGTTTAAATATTCTTTAAACACATAGTCCAACTATTATATATCACTAGTGAATAAGGCACACCCTAATGGGTGTGCAATTAATAAAAATTACAAATATGGAAATTATGTCTTTATAAAGTTTTTATTTTGTGTCACAATCCTTTATTAATATTTGAAATATTGGTATCAAACCATATCCATATCCATAAAGGAATTAGTGGACTTCTCCTCCGGATGATAGTATAGGAAGAGGAAGTTGCTTTAGAAGGAAGAGAGAGAGAGAGAGAGCGTGCGAGTTGGAATGAGAGAGTGGTAATTACTAATCATATATATAATAAAGCCGTATTCTCATTCTTATCACTTTATAATTTCTCTTTTCTACGTGATTTAATGACACGGCAAGTAGTTTCAACTTACTCTATAAAATTACCTACGCTCTTCCATCTCAATTTCCACCTTTTTTTTAAAAATAACTTATGCTCTATATGGAGCTTATCTCTCTCTTTTTCATAAGTATGAAATCAATTATCAATATCTATCTAAATTTAATTTCAAATATAAAATTCGAGATTTCAGTTAGCTAATAAGTTTCGCTACTTTTATTTGGTTTTTAAATAAACGGATATATGTGATTTTTGTGGATAATCCATATAAATCCATTTAATTTAATGATTTTACTTTGGTCAACCATTTAAAACCAATACTATAAATGGATAATCCAAATCCATTTAATTATGGATTATATGGATGGATAAATGGATTTCAATCCAAATTGCCACCTCTATATAAAACCATCATTGTCATCCATGTATGACTTATAAAACCGTCTTATAACCATCCTAAGCATTCTATCCTATATTTGAGGCAGTTTATCATTCTACCATAATCATATATTTGCGACTGCTTGCTCTTCTTTTGGTTTGTGAACTTCTAGGTATAACAAAATATGACCCGTATAATTTCTTTAACATGCACGCCTTTAGTAAAACTATTTTTTATTATTATTTTTTATATTCTTATCAATATCTTTTTATATCCTTATCAATTTTTATTTCCTACCCAAAGCTAAATACTTTAAGCAACTTAATTTAAGATAAAACTACTTTTAATATTCTTATCAATATCTCTTTATATCCTTATCAATTCTTATTTTCTACCCAAAGTTACGTACTTTAAGCAACTTAAATTAAGATAAAACTTCTTTTAATATTCTTATCAATATCTCTTTATACGCTTATCAATTCTTATGACTACATATAGCCCCTAATAAATGAATTTCAAGCATCAAATTCATGGTTAGGTATTTTCAGTGCAAGTGGTTTGCACATTAAAGTATCGATTTTAGATTTTCACTCCTCTTGATTATCAGGTACATCTTTTTTCGATACATATTTTTCTTTTTTAAAAAGACATGTTCATCTTCAATTGTAAGCATTTAGTAACATATCTTGAATTTTGTGTGTTTTGGTTTTATTTTCTATTTGTTCTGTATGAAGAGATAGGATATAAACAAGTATTTTTATCGTAAGTTTTCATATACATTAAGTTTGTATTTAAGAAAGGTTATAATAAAACATACATTAAGTTTGTATTTCATATCAACATTTTTATAAAATTGGCTAAATAATTTATTATTTTTCAACGATTCCCGTTCAACGAACGGGTACAAAACTAGTTAGTGGATAATGTGAATTGATATTAATTGTCACCAATGACTTAAAGTCTTGATGAAATGGGAGGTCAAAACTTCAAACCTAACATTTCATCACTCTACCATAATATGTGGCTTTTTCAAATGCATACGGGTGCGTTGTGTACCCATCTGATCCAATGGTGATTCAGTTCCTGTTAATTTTTCAATGGATGTAGTTGGGTTTCCTCTAAAATAGGTTAAAATAGGAGTAGAAATAAAAATGGATGATAACAATTGACAAAAAAAAATTGTGGAGTTGTCTTACAATAGATCGGGGCTAATTAAGGGTAAATAGGAACTTCAAAAATGGCATTGTGTGTTTACACCGTACAGTTATCATTTGACATTATATATTGCAAAGATATTTCGAAAAAGAAAATATTAATGACATTTTTTGACTGTTTTTACTCTACGAAATATTTAAAATGCCCCTACAAGACCATCCTAATTAGGGAAAATTTTTTCAAAAAGTTTCTCACATTTTGTAAAATGACTTTTTTCGTCCCTCACTTTTAAAAGTGTAATTTTACATCCCTCATAAATTCATTTTGATCAAATTTGATCTCTACCTAGATTTTCGACTAGTTTTTTGCTGAAATCTACCACATGCCTTACATGTAATCAATTTTTAGGTGCAAAATTGTCAAATCAAAATTTACATAATCCGATCCATAGTTCTTCACATTTTACAAAATGAATTGTTTCATTCCTCACATTTCATAAAATAAAGTTTTTTCATCTCTCACATTTTACAAAATAAAATTTTTCATCTTTCATTGACCATGCGTACGAATAGTTTTTTTAACACATGGCTTTATCTATTTTATTTCACCTAAATAGTACGAATAACATATAATATATTTCTATTTGATTTCACCTAAACAGACTAATTGTAGTTGTACACATGCTATTTAATAGATATTTATATGGGTTTAAAATTAATAATTTTAAATTATACCCATGTATATATCTATTTGATTTCACTATGTGAATCTATTCAATATTTATGACATTTTCTATTTTGGTAATAATTCATTTATTGAGTTATATAGTAAGGCTATCTAATTAATAGGTCCTAATTCGAAATCTATAGTCATGTTTATAAATTACAGTTTAAATTTAAAATTTCTTCTCTCCACTTTTAAGACCGACAGTTGAATTATTTGTCTTGAGATTATTTTAAAATTTGAAAGTACCAATCACTTATTGTTTTTATCATACTTTTCCTTTGTTTCTTTTTGTGCAAATTTAATTTGATATAAATACTTGATAATGTTTAGAATTAAATGTCTTCTTTGTTTTCAATTTTTGAGTAAAAGAAAATGAACATGAGTGAAAAACTAACAATTTTTTTAAACCCTTATATATATATATATATATATATATATATATATATATATATATATATATATCTATTTGATTTCACCTAAACAGTATATTTAAGCGAAATCAAATAGAGATATATTACATGCTATTCATATTGTTCAAGTAAAATCAAATAGATATATACATGAATTTTTTTTAAAAAAACTATTCATACATATGATCAATAAAGAATGAAAAAATTCATTTTATAAAATATAAGGAACTATGGATTAAATTATGTAAATTTTGATTTGATAATTTTGCCATTCAAAAATGATCACGTGTAAAGCACATGATGGATTCCTACTAAAAAATAGTTAGAAACTTAAGTAGGGACCAAATTTGACTAATGTGAAATTGTAAGGAACGTAAAATTACACTTTTAAAAGTGAGGGACGAAAAAAGTCATTTTGCAAAATATGAGAGACATTTTAAACAATTTTTTCTTAAGTTTCTTAAGTAAATCTACTAAAAAATCTCTTATGGTTAAGCCAATCTATGAAAAAAAAAAAAAACCGTCTATGATTACCTATTGCTGTCACCAGCATTCTCCACCTTCAATTGTTACCCTCCGCATTATCACAATCCTCTTTCTCTCCTTTTTCCTCATCTACTTCCCCCTTTCTCTTCCTTCCCCTTCTTATCCCTTTGCGATCCCTTCCTTGCACCTACTCACCTTCTTCTTGTGATCAAATTTATTGCAGGAGGGAGAGGAAAAGGTTTGGGGAAATGGTGATCTGGTCACGACCCCTTCTTTCTCTCCCACAACTAATTATGGTCATTGGAAGGACAGGGGTTGCAGATAAATGGCCTTGAAGGGAGGAGAGAGAGCGGGATGCAAGGAACGGGAAGAGAGGAAGAAAGAAAGGAGAGGAGGAAGACGAAGAGAGAGGGGCCGGTGATCAAGGGAAGGGTGGTGGTGGCAAAAGAAGAGTGGCAGTGGAGAAAGAGATAGGGGTGGTATTTTATTTTTATTTATTATTTTATGTATAGAAACAAGGTGAATTGTATTTAGCAGTTTTCGATTGTTTTTTAAAAATTTTATGAGTTCTAAGGGGTTTAATAGGTATATCAACTAAAAATTGATTTAAGAAATTAATTTCCAAGTCAAGCACTTGCAATAGAAGCGCGTTTATCTCAAACTTGTGAATTTAAATGATTTTCCTCGATTTTTTTACATTAGTTCAAACCACAAAATATCAAATTATATGACTTGAAATCATAAGAGGCTTTTTTTTTTGTAAGTTTGCTTAACCACCAGGGACCTTGTGCATTTTACCATTTTATTTAACTCTAAGGGTATGATAGGTATATCAATTAAAAATTTACTTGTTTCCAGTAAATACTCGCAATAGTGGTGTGTGTATCTCAAACTAGTTAATTCAGATGATTTCTATCACTTTTTAAAATTAGTTCAAATCACGAGATATTAGAAATATATGTTTTAAAATTGTACGGGATTTTTCTGTATTTTAATAAAAAGAAATAAAATGATATGTTTCATCCCACGCATTTTAGGAAAAAAGCTATTTTTAATGAAGCAAATCAGTCCCTCACATTTTAAAAACAAAGCAAATTAATCCCAAAATAACAACTTGATATAGATTTCAAGGGTAAAATTGAAACATCACTTTAGTGTTAACCAAATCTACCTATATCTGACATATGCATGATATTAAGTCAACAAAAAAAGGAAAAAGAATTAAAACTTACAACATAAAAAAAACCTTCTCTCTTAAAAATTAAAAAATTTTGAGAAAGTGATATTAGGTTAACATAAAAAGAAAAATTAAAATTATAACATCGAAAACAAATCATTCTGTCTAAAAAGAAAAGAAAATTTAAAAATTATAACATCAAAAACAAACCCTTCGCTCTAAAATGTTTAAAAAATTTTTGTATAAAATTTTTTAACTTAGGGGTTTGCTTTTTAGTTATAATTTTTAATTTTTTTCCCTTTTATGTTGACTAATGTCATTATCTCAAAAAAATTTAACTTCTTTTAGGTAGAAATGTTTGTTTTCTATGTTATAATTTTTAATTTTTTTCCTTTTTATAGTGACTTAATGTCACGTATGTATCATATGTAGCTAGACTTGGAAGAACTATAGTGATGTTGCTAGACTTAATGTCACGAAAGTGTTTGGATAGGAGAATTATTTACCCAAATTTATTTGCTTACATCACCATTACAATTTTCAATACAATTTTTTATCTTTTCAATTACCTTTTTATCTCACATACATCACATCACAAAAAGTGTTACAATAAAAATATATCAAATAATTTACAATCCAAATATATTAGGTTATCAATATGGAACTAATTTGTTTTATTTTTAAAAAGTGAGGAATTATCTTACAGCGTTGTAAAAGTGAGAGATAAAAAATATTTTTTATCAAAAAGTAAGAGATGAAACAAATCATTTTTTTCAAAAAAAAAAAAAAAAGAGATACAGATTAATTATCATGCATGTTAGGATTGGTCCCATCATCAATAATTTGGCAAATTTCATGTCAATGTACCGCAAAGGGATTTTATGAGATCTAGGCCCTGTGACCATGGACGCTACATGCCATATTTTCGTCAATAATGGGGGGGACAGCTGAGGCCAGTTTTCCGCTCTGCTCCAAAGAGAGAAAGCAAAGGTAAATGATGGAAAATTGACTTGATATCTGATAAGAGAGGAATCTTGTACTATTTTGTTCTTTCTACCTATAAAGCTGCCATGGGTATGGCCCGTGGAAAATTCATCGTTCCCCGTTCATACCAAGGATGAAGACTTTACCGTAGTATCCAAAACCATGGGCACCAAAATCAAGGCTGTTATTTTGAGAAGAACGCAACCAAAACGGAAACCGGTATCAATTCCGTCCAATTTGGATGTAATGGATTACAGCATCCACCAATTTAAAAGCGAAAAAGAACGAAAAGCAAAACCGGTGTCAGTGTAATATTTTGAAAAACTAAGGAGTTATTATTGAACTAAAGATAACCAAATTTCGATTAAATTTTTTTAAATGGAACCTACTGGGTTACTGTACTACTTATTGCAATTTAAAAGTGCAAATTTATTTGAACTTGCAGAATTCAATATAGCGAAATCCCAATTCATCAACTATATAATTATTGCGCATTCATGGATATAGATTTAGGAATGATGATGCTGAAAATTAAAAATTTTTAATAATATTATATGGGTATAAAGCGCCTGATGTCCATTTAGCATCCACCTAAAGTGTTCCACTCAAATATCCACATTGAATCGACCCGGTGGAATAGCTCAGTCGATTATGTAATCCTTTTTTAAGTCATTGACCAGTGTTGAGTTTCATAATTATCGTGCTCGGAGTGAATTGGATCGTCCTTTCTTGAACTGTAAGGAATTAGTTGGACCGAAAGTCTGGGGTGACACCCCCTGCATAAAAAAAAATATCCATATTGAATCCATCACGATTCCACTTAAATGTTTCTTTCCAAAAAAAAAAACTCTTTTTTGTCAAATCATTGCTACTTTAGTTTTGAAAAAAAAAATTTGTGATTGTAAACTGGTAGATGAGAAATTTAACTATTAAACACTACTCAGTTCATTCTTCATCCTTCGTGTACTTGTTTGATTTCCTTGGTGTAATTCTTAATATTCAATGAGCCTTCTTCATTTCTTGACATTTTTACTCGAACAAAATATTCGTTCATTTTATAATTTGTTTGCTAATTATCAAAACTAAAGAATTCAAAGTCATAGGGTTTTCAATAACTTATCAGTCTCCTACAAGGCTACAACCTTTTATAGATTAAATATACAGTCCGCTGGATTATTTAGCAATTGAATGATAGTCAATTCCATATATACTCTCAAATTAAATATAAAATTCAGTATACTATTTGGCGATAAAAACTAATAGGCCTTGCTTGGATTGAAGGTTTTCGTCGGAAAATATTATCGTTTTCCGTGATCACATTTCCCTATCACATTTTTCCCTCACATATATCAAATCGCTACAGTAATTTTTCCATGAAAAATGACGGAAAATGCAATCCAAACACAACCTATTAATCGCTTACACCCTTTTATTCAACCCGCTATCAAATTTCCTATGTTATCTAGCAATTAAAGGAGAATCCCCCTGCTTCCTCCCTCTGATTTCTTATATACAAAATTCGTAACACTATTTAACGATCGAAAACTAATTAATCTCCTACAACCTTCTATAATATAGATATTGTGATTACACTATTTAGCAACAGAATAACAATCTACTCCATAGTCTCTCTTATTCATTAAATGTAGATTTCACTTCACTAAATAACCCCTAATTCCTTTCATTTGGTGAAGCCTCCCTATAACTAATTAATCCTTCTCTCCCCTTTATGTATTAAACACAATGTTCAGCTCATCTATTACACATAAAATTGGCCATACTTTTTAGGAAAAATTGTCAATTTAATCCCTAAACTGTTTTTTCCGTCGATTTAGTCCCTATACATTATTTATAGTCAATTTAATCTCTAAACTTATATTTCGATTCAATCAGGAAGCTTAGCGGCGACGTCACCGCATAATTTTTATCAGCTTCCCAATCAAGCAACTCAGAAAGGGTAGTTTAGGGACTTCCATTGTGGAGCCTTAACCAAAATTAACCGAAACAAAATCTTATGAGAAATACCCACCAAAACCCAAAATGAAAACAAAAAAATTTCTTGCTCAGCTCTCACAAAAGAGGGGTGGTGGCCTGCTTAGCCAACCTATGCAGTACCTTCAACCCATCCTCGAATGCAGCCGGATACCGAATCTAGTTAAGGCTCCAGTGGACTCAGGCCTGTTCTTGTCATCCCACATGAGAGGGAAAGGGAAAAAGGGATTGGTCCACACTCCACACTCCAGTGGTGGCGACTATGGTGAGAAGGTGTTTTGTGTTTTTTTTGGGGGAGGGGATGGATTTACTTATTTTTACCGCAAAAGAAAAGACGGTGGTAACGGTGATTTCGGCTATGGTGTTCTCGAGGAAAAGGCCCAGGAAACAGTAGAAGGCGGCAACCAGCAAACTGAAAACTGAAAACTGAAAACTGAAAAAGAGTAGCTTTACCTGTAAAGGGTGAAGAGGACGCTGCCAGCCATGGCGTCTCATGGTTTTTGGACTGAAAAACAACAAGAAGAAGAAGGTTGGGCCTCACAGCGGTAGAGAGATGGCGGTGGCTCCCAACAATTACGCTGTTTATGGAAAGAGGATCGCGGAGGAGGCTCCTTCGGAGACGGCAGTGGCTTACAACAAGTACGATGTTTCTGGAAATAGGATTGCGGAGGCTCCTCCGGTGGCTGCCGCTACCTTTTTGTTATCTGAACCTGATGATGCAGAAAATGCATCTGATAGTGAAAAGGTCGAGCAAATTGAAGCAGCAGATGGCCAAGAAAGCCAAGAACCGCCTCAAGAGGAGCATACGAAGATGTGGAAGTTGATAAAAATGATGAAACCAAAGGCACCACCATAGAGAGAGACTATCCAGGAGGATGAAGAAAAGGAAAACTCATCATCATCGTCAAATACGCTGCCGGAATGTTTGCTATTGATGATGTGTGAGCCGAAACTGTCAATGAAAGTTTCCAAGGAGACATGGGTCTGCAGTACGGACTTCGTCCGATGGTTACCGGAGAGGCGGCCAGCAGCAGCTGTCACCAACCAGAAATTAGTCAACGCTCCAGAGGACCCCAAGATGGAAGTCAGCTGCACCGACTCCAATCATCCTCCCCCTCCTCCAATGGGACCATAACCACACCCATCGCCGCAGGAGCTTATGTCCTAACAGCAAGAGCAAGAGCAACAACAGCCGGAGATTTTTCTGCCGCCGAGGTCTTCCTGCTCTCTGCCGACGGTAGCAGCTGTGTCCATGGCGGCCATGATTGAACAGAAGCTGGTGAACGTCGGGGTAACGAGCCGTTTGTGTTGACCAGGTGTAAGTCCGAGCCCATGAGGACGGCGGCGACTAAGCTTATGCCGGAGGCTTGTTTTTGGAAGAATAGGAAGCTTGGGTGGATATTTCTCATAAGATTTTGTTTCGGTTAATTTTGGTTAAGGCTCCACAATGGAAGTCCCTAAAATATCCTTTCTGGTTGCTTGATTGGGAAGCTGATGGAAATTATGCGGTACTAGTTAAATTTCTTGATTGGAACCAAAATATAAATTTAGAGATTAAATTGACTATAAATAATGTATAGAAATTAAATCGATGAAAAAAAAAGTTTAGGACTAAATTGATAATTTTTCCTACTTTTTTTTTGGATTGAACGTGCAATATTTTTGCACATTTTGGTGATATAAACACAATTAACTCTCTTTTTCTTGGTTGCTACCATTTTTTTTTGTTTAAGTATAGAATTCGAGTGCTACCTAGTGACAAAATACTAAGCAATTATCTAAGTCTTCAGTTGGTTACATAATTCATTGCACACCATAATAAACAAATATCAATGAATTTCACGATATCTTTTAATGAATAACGGATACAGTCGGCTAAATTTTGTAAATTGACTACCAACTTCTTTAAAGTAGTTAAATAACATGTAGTATTATTTAATGCACCTTATATTAATTAATACTTACATAACATTAGCTTTGTTCACACTTAGAACACTTGCATATTAAGGGAGAAAAATTAATGTATTTAGTCACAAAGTTACTTTAGCAATTATTATATGATACATGCATATGAGCTACAGCATTAGTCAATAGTTAATTTTAGATTTTTAAGGCAGAGACACATTATTATCTTTTTTAAAGTGTAATATGTATCATGAATAATTTTTGCAAGGCAATTCATGCGTTGTGGTTTGGGTAATTTATTGTAATTTCGTATTTGGTTGCTTTCTTCCTTTTTTTTTAACTCTTAATTAACGAATTCTATTACATTTTAGATTCCTAATTAATTGGACTAAAAATGATTCTATTTTTCTCCTACGTCATTTTGGAAGCACAAATTTGTCCCAAAGATTTTTTTTTTTCAGCAACGATATATTTGTATAATCTATTCTATCATAATCTAGGGGAAGAGGAGCCTAAAGAGGCTGTAATAGGGACTAATAGGTATATAATTCCAACTAGATCAAAAGAATACTATGATTCAATTCTTAGGTTGTTTTCATTGCTGGTGAACTTTGAACCTTCACCGACAGTCCAAGTTCCCTCCCGGTGACCATTGAGCCATTGGCCCAGTGATTTTGTCCCAAAGATTCGTAGAATTTATCATTTGGTTTGCTTTTCATTCGATACCTTTCATTGGTGGTTGTAACTATCCAAATGTTGCCAAAAATTAATACTACAATTATCCATCATTGAAGAGAAAAAGACGCCACCAGCAGCACCACAATTACCCAGCATGTGAATTGAGCTGCTTTCTTTTTGACTGGAAGAGAAAATGAACCACGTGAGAATCGAGCCTCTCTTCTGAGATCAGTTAAAAACCACAGAGATTAGAAGTTTTGCAGCTGCACCCAACAGCAAGAGCTTCTCTCCTCCTTTACTGGTTATTGAAAGCAAATCTCACTTTTCCAGGATGGCTGACCCTGCTCTCTCTTTTGTTATTGAGAGAACTGGCGATCTGCTGATTCAAAAAATTGTTTTCCTGAAAGATGTTCGACGTCAAGTTGAGAGACTCCGAAATGATCTGGTCCGGATGCGGTGTTTCCTGAAAGATGCAGATCAAAGGCAAGATGAAGAGGAAAGGATTCGCCACTGGGTTTCTGAAATCAGAGATGCTGCCTACGATGCGGAGGATATCATTGAGATCTTTGCCAGCAAAGTTGAGTTCATAAAGGACAAGGGACTCGTCACCAAATTGACATATTATCCCTTGAAATTTGTGAACCTCTACAAGATAGGTAAAGAGATTAAGTCCTTACGGATGAGGCTTAAGGAGATTGCTGATAGCCGCGAAGAGTACGGTATCAAAAATCTTGGAGAGGGAACGACTACACATGGAGAAGAGCTTCAACGGCTCCGGCGGTCCTCTCCTTTCAACGAGGACAAGGATATAGTGGGCTTCGAGGAGATAACAAAATCCCTGGTGGCAGAACTTTTGAAAGAGGACAGAAACCGCCGTGTGGTTTCAATCATTGGCATGGGAGGTGCTGGTAAGACAACCCTAGCCAAAAAAGGTTATAACCATGCTGATGTCAGGGAGAGATTCAACTGTCGTGCTTGGGTCTGCGTCTCTTCAATCTACAATCACAAAGAGACGTTAAGGACAATCATAAAACAGTTGAATCCAATAACTAATGAGCTACTTGACATGTTGGAAAAGATGCAAGAGCAGGACTTGGAACAAAGGCTCTATCAAGATCTAGAAGATAAATGTTATCTTGTGGTACTTGATGATGTGTGGAAGGAAGAAGCATGGGATTGTCTTGCTAGGGCCTTTCCTGATGTTAACACATCAAGTAGATTGCTACTTACAAGTCGCAATCGGGATGTTGCCCAACACGCAGATGCTCTTAGCAAACCACATGAGCTAAAAACTTTGGGGCAGGAAGATAGCTGGCAGTTGTTCCTCAGAAAGGCCTTAGCCCACGGGGATAATGCTGGGTGTCCTTCGGATTTGGAAGAAGTGGGCAGAGAGATTGCAAGGAGATGTGCTGGTCTGCCACTGGCCATCACGGTTATAGGTGGCCTGCTACTGGCAAAGAAAAAGTTGAAGAGTGAATGGGAGAAAGTTCTCAACAGTTTCAACACAAACCTATCAAAGAGCCAGAGTGGAGTGTCAGCAATTCTGGAATTAAGTTATGCAGACCTCCCTGCCAATCTGAAATTTTGCTTTTTGTATTTGGGTTTGTTTCCTGAAGACTTCGTCATTTCTGTGCGCAAGTTGATTCATATGTGGGTTGCAGAGGGAATAATCCAAAATAGAGATGCAAAAAATTTGGAGGAAACTGCAGCATATGATGATGTGGAACGACTTTGTAGCAGAAATATGGTCCAGGTGGCGGAAATGACTGTTGATGAGAGGATTAAAAGCTGTAGAGTCCATGATTTACTGCGAGAGCTTGCAATCAGAAAGGCAGATGATGAAAATTTTTTTCAGATCCATGACACCAGAGATGATAAAATATCAGCCAAATCCAGGTACCTTGCTGTTCATGTTCTCCCTTGGGATGAAAATTATCTTGGGTCTTCGACCCCCCCTCTCCGGTCCCTACTTTTTTTCAATGTCCACGGTTACATGGAAAACATTAGTCTTAATCTCAAAAGTTTCGGAAAGCTTAGGACGCTAGACCTTGAGAATGTTCAGATACCATATAATTTGCCAAAGGAAATTGGTGAAGTCAGGCTTCTAAGATACCTCTGTTTAAGATACACATCGATTGCAAGGCTCCCTCGTTCCTTCGGTTGTTTGCGAAACCTACAAACTCTTGACATGCGGACCCGTGCCACAGTGGTAGTTTTAAATTTCATTTGGAAGCTTGAAAGTTTACGGCATCTATACGCTTATGATATAAGATTAGACATTTATAATATAAGATGGAATGAGTCACTTAAGATTGAAGGATTGAAGAATCTTAAGACTCTGTCACGCGTAAACTTTGATGACATTATGCACAATAACATGATAACTTTGACAAGTCTTCAGAAACTGGGGATTTGGGTGGATGACATGTCAGAGATAGACAAACTCTGCATGCATTTATCTGAAGTTGGAAGCCTAAAGACGTTACAACTTTATTTTGATGGAAGTAGCCAGCAGCCAACTCTAGGTGGACTTTCTAAGCTCCATCATGTAACAGAGCTTAAGCTATCCGGGGTGGATTTGAGAATGCTACCTCCTGATTTCCCTCCAAATCTCTCTCGCTTGTCTTTGAAATTCAGACATTCCACGGATGACCCAATGCCAGTACTAGAGAAGTTGAGACAACTGTCGTTCCTCAAAATGGAATTTGAATTTGAGGGACCAGAGCATATGGTCATTTCCAGGCATGGGTTTCACCAATTGAAATTCCTTCAGGTCGGCCGTCTAAATCATTTGGATGAAATAAAGGTGGAGAAAGGTGCATTGCCACAGCTCCTGTGTATGAGAATCAGGGATTGCGGCAGATTACGGAAGTTGCCGGAAGAGCTGAAGCACATATCTACTCTTGATATGCTTGAGCTTGTGGACATGCCAAAGGATTCTATCAGCAGGCTTGCTGCGGACATGGCATTTAGTGTTCCTAACCTCAGAATATTTGACTCTTGAATGCTGAAGAAACTAAGTTCGCATTCGAATTTGATGGAAGCTTCTGCATAAATGGCTTGAATGTGTACTTCTACCTTTGTAATCCATCTTATTTTTCCTCTCCATCAAGGGGCTTTTGTTTCACCTCATATTGTACTGCAAGCTGAATTCCAGAGTAGTTATTAATAAAATTATTTCCAGTTTTTATCAAAATAAATAAATAAAAAGAATGTTTCCGATTCAATTTGATGTAAAATGTTAATTTTTATTACGTGAGCTTGATTATGCTTGAATGAGCTCGATTTGACTCGATTAGATTTAATTAAACTCGAGTTCGAATAGTGCATTACTTGAATTCGACTCGACTCGAACGCACTTCTAGTTGAATCCAGCACCAAATAAAAAAATTTATGAAAAAGTTTATAGCAATAGCACCTAAGTTCCAATTGAAAGAATGGAATATGCTCTTCACTACACTACTGCTCCACTTGTCATGAAAGATCTTCTTCAATTGTCTATAATCATTGGCACCTTCCCTTTCTAGAGTACTAGCCTTGTTTGAATTGCTGTTTTCCGTAAAAAAATTATGTCGTTTTCCGTAATCACATTTCGCTATTACATTTTTTCCTCACATACATCAAATCGCTACAGTAATTTTTTCATGAAAAATCATGAACAATGCAGTCCAAACACAATTGTTTATTGACAATTAACAACTAATACCAATGATTACAATTGAGTTACAGAGTAATTGAGTGATTACTAATCAATCATCACTGCAAAAAAATCCTTTCACCATAATTACTATTTCAAGTCTATTTTTGCATTCCTCGCAACTGGAAATAGTTGCATGCAAATTGATCAAGGACTGTGTGACAAGGATGTCAATGGAAACAAAACTAAGATTTAATCAGGTAATTACACAGAAAAGATTCAGGATTGTGTGCCTTTTTCCTCTTTTGAAAGTCTAATTTCCGAAATGAACTCCATGTGTTATATAACACGGTATTATTTTCATCTAAATGGTTAGGAATTAGTATCTCTTTCACTATAAGAAACAAATGAATCATTATTGTATTGTTTAGATTATTAACAGATGCACCAAGGCTAGAAGTGTCAAAATGGATGGTTTGGGCGGGTTTGGGTTGGTTAAAATGGGTAATGGGTATAAGTGAGTCAACTCATTTATACACATCTAATTAGATGAGCATAAATGGATAAGTCAAAAAATGAATTGGATAACCCGTTTATAACCCATTTATTTTAACTTTTTGTAAACTAATTTATATTCATTTTTGCAAACTAAGTTATCAATTTATACCACCCTTTACACCCATAATTAGTTTTAAATATTTACTTATAATGTTCAATAAGCCTAATTACCAACTTTTTCCATCCATACTCTATGTCGCAAAATTATATACTATTTAATAATTGAACAATAATAATATAAAAATTTGAACTAAGTACTATAAAAGTTAACTCAAAAGTTTAATGCAAACCCCTAATATTTTTTTCATGTGTAAATTTAAAAGTTCATTTTGGAAAGATAGGAAAAAATGTTAAAACTTGTCATAAATTGGTGATGCTAAAATGAGCAAGTTAACAAACTAAAATAAAATGATAAAATAAAACCAACAAATAATAATAATGAAACAAAAGTAGTTAATATCATGACAAAATGAAAAATTTGAAAAAAAAAAGGGTGGAGCAAGAGAGGAGGTTTAGGGGAAGACAATTCTAAATGGGTTAATTGGATTTGATGGATTATCCAATAATACCCAATTGGGTTATTGGATAACTCATTTATACCCATATATAAAAATTGAAGATACCTATATCCATTTAGGACAATGCTTTAGTAACGGCAGTTATGGTAACGAAACAATTTTTTACCTAATATAACAGGTAGTTGCACTTTTAGCAACCATTTGATTATTTGATAGGCCTATCTACCTAACTAGGATAACACTTAAAAATAAGAAAGTAAGTTTCTCATCTAAAAAAGTAAGTTAACAGTAATAAATTAGTAACTTTATACTTCAAAAGGTAAATTGGAATAAATATTAAACTTACTTTTTAAATAAATAAATTACTACTTTATATCCCAAACTTACTTTTTAGAGAGTAAGTTTAATTCAAGTAATAGTAAGTTTTTATACATGAATAGTAATTCTTACTGATAACATGGTAAATTTGATTAATAATCAAAACTTACTGATTTATGGCATACATGTACTATTTTACTTTAAAACATATTTCAAACTAGTATTAGGAAATTTATTTGAAATAATGATAAGATGTTTTATTAATGATTAATTCTTAGTACCTTAGTTAGTAAGTATTTGTAATATACCTATATAATACATGATTATAGGTATAATTAAAAAATTTTTTATTTATATATTTTAAAATACTATGAAAAATAGTTTGACTCTTCACATAATCTCGTAAAATATGTAATAAAATTTTGTCGTATTATAAGTTTTTAATCATTTTCAATTTTTGAAAAGTTTGAAAGTTTGGATAACAATAACAACAAATCTTCCTAGTTATATATAGAATATTACTTGTTTATTTATCACAATTTTTATAATTTAACACCTATGAATATAATAAGATGATAAAGTTTTAATAAATTTACATCTGGGACACAAGAAATAATAAGAGTTAAAGCCTACACAAAATGAGAAATAATATAATAATAAAAATGACAAAATTAATATAACAATTAATATACGAAAATCAGTATGATCTGGACTTTTTTCCGTGGGAGATTGTTCATAAGAATGGGATCCAATAGTTATAAATGAAAATCACATGCATATATAATCTGTTGTATAATTTAAATTAAATTTAGTTCACGTATAAAATGGTCCTAAAATAATTAGTACACGAGGATACAATGTTATTTTAACAACAAAAAATTTTTTTTTTTACTAAAAGTCTCAAATATCCATGACATATGTATGAGTGATATTTAACTATATTTGTATCTCACATCTAATCATTAAAGTTAATTTGAGAAAAAATATTTTTGACAATAGAATTATTTTGAATTTAGTCAACAAGTTGAGATTTTTTAAACAATAAAAGTGAAATATTTTGGGAACTTAGTTGTTTATTTTCCCATAATTAAAAATTGCTATATTTTAGCAATTGTTGCCATTGACTTTTCATTCTGTAGACTAATTTTTATCAATGTAAAATTAGTTTTATTAACAATAATTGAAGTTCCATTGATCCGAGGATTGGCATTCTATTGCTATTATTTTATATGTAAATATTTAACCTAAGTAATAAAATAAATAATAGCCACTTAAAAAAAGGAAATTGGTGCTCGATTGATTGTGGTGTAAAATATTAGTATACAATAAACTAGGGTTTGAAATAGAATTAAATTTATTTAGTATTTTACTACTAACAACTTTGACTTTATTTAATGGTTAAAGAAAAAATAAAAGAGATATAAAGATTGGGATTGATTCCTTAGTGTGAAAAAGGAAAGTTCCTTTAAGTAATGCTGCGTGAAATTCTGATGCATATGAAATTAGAAATGTGATAACTTTACAATTCATTCTCATTTATGATGAATTTTTTCGATTTTATATAGAGTCGCAATTTTTTCGTTCAGCACGAAAATATTCTTTTTTTGTCATATTGATGGCTTTTGCTTTCAAGATTATCTACATGTCAGTGGTTAGTATTATTAACAAGGTTAGAGATAATGGAAAATGTTACTAATTTTAGAAGAAATTATGTATTGTAAAAATGGTTTAATAAATTTCTATTAAGCATAGCTACTACATACAAAAGGAAAAGACTTTTGATTTTATTTTGCTTTGATTAAAAGAACTTGTACTAGTAATAAAGGAAATTTCAATTCAACAGTCAACGTGCACATGATTACAGTAATTTTTTAGTCAATTAGACTAATATATGCCATAAAGTAGTCAGATTTAGTCATTTGTGAATTGATAATTTTAACAGTTTACATAACATTCATCTATAAAAAATTATGATTATTATAAAATGACATTTTATAATAATTTACATACCGTTTGCCAAAAAAAAAAGAGTTTGATCGAAAAAATAAGGATACAAATCCATAATGTAAATGATACAAAGTATGTTTGAAATTCACAGAACTTAACATATGGGTAACTTTACTATAATTTTCAAAGATTATGCTACGTTAATACAACTTTAACTTTTATACTTGTGACCCAGAAAATAAATTTATTAAAATTTTACCATTTTATTAAATTCATAGGCATTAATATATGAAAATTGTGATGTATAAGTAAGTGCTATTTGATAGACAACTCAAAAGATTTGTTGTTATTATAATACAACTTTAAATTTTATACTTGTGACCCAGAAAATAAATTTATTAAAAATTTTCCATTTTATTATATTCATAGGTATTAATATATGGAAATTGTGATGTATAGATAAGTGCAATTCTATATATAACTCAAAAGATTTGTTGTTATTGTCATCCAAACTTTCTAACCTTCACAAATTCAAAAATAATTCAACATTTATAATACGACAAATTATTCTTACATATTTTATAAGGTCATGTGCAAAAAAAAAAAATAGTTTTCATAGTATATTTAAAATGCTTAAAACATATAACATTTATAAATGATACGTACAATTATGTATCATACATTTACATTACGAGTAATTGCTAACTATAATACTAAGTTTCAATCATTAATAAAAAATCTTAACATTATTTCAAATAAACTTCCTAATACTTGTTTCATATAAGTTTTTTAAGTAAAATAGTAAATTCATACCACAAACTAGTAGGTCTTGACCACTAACTAAATTTACTATTCTATCAACAATATTTACTATTAATCTATAAAAACTTATTATTACTTAAACTAAACTTACTCTCCAAAATGTAAGTTTCAGATATAGAGTAGTAATTTACTTCAAAAAAAAAGTAAGTTCCATATTTATTCCAATTTACTTTTTGAGACATAAAACTTACTAATTTATCGAGTTAACTTACTATTTTTTATGTAAAACTTACTAACCAAAATTTTAGGTACTATTTTATTTAGGTGACCAGTCCAATATGTAATCAAATGGTTGCTAAAAGTGTTTTTACCTGTTATATCAGGTAAAAACAGTTTCGTTACCATAATGATCGTTATTTCAGACTTTTACTGTCCATCCATTTATGAGCGGGCATGGATAAATTTAAATAAATGAATTTGTTT